ACTATGCAGCACAACATGTCTTCCTAAAGTCGCACAGAGGACAGTCACGCTGTCATGGGTGACCTCAGCCCATACTCACCTCATAGTTCTAGCGGGGTTAACTTCTGCAGAGGGTTTAGAATACCTGTCAGATTTTTATTGTTGTCTGTATCTCTGTCAGGGAGATTCACCCTCTATCAGTCCTGTTTCCTGTTGTCACTAAGAGTGAAACTTTGGGTTGTCACCAGAACAGGAATAGTAAGAAATGTTTCAATTGGGACACCAGTTCTGATGACAGCCAGGGATACCCTTATTGGAAGGGTTTTCCTCTCTCTTCCTGTTGTGGCTATGGGACAGGAAGTGAAGAGAAATCTTCCCACTAGGACCCCAATGGCAAAAAAAAAAAAACACTGTCACGGGCTATAACTCTTCCTTACTGTATCCAAAATGGAGTAAAAAAAGTTTTGCCTTTAAATTTACTACACATTGTGTCTGTGTGTCTGATACTCTTAGACCTGTGTATATAATTTGAGGTATAAGTGGGCAGCTTGGCTAGATGCAACAAAATTGCCAGCATGTGCCTAGTGTTCAGTAAATAGGGCGCCTATGTCTAGTGTCAAAATTTAGGTCTTGGATGCGTGCTGTGTCAAAACACTTACACATGGCAAAATGCTGCTAAAAACTTTTCACCTGTGTACTTAATGCAACAAACGTACAAAAGAAAAAGGCAGTTTTGTGATAAACTGATAGGTGGTACACAAAGACCTTTCCCATTGTAATTCGGTATGATTGATTGTCGTCTTACATGCTAGTTTCATATCAAAAGTGAAGAGGTTACTAAAGTTTCAAAAACTCCTGTACAAATTCGAATGTGATGCAATGTATCGCATTGTATTTGTTTTATATTTTTGGACAAAACTGTACTGATTAAATGAAAATCGTATGACCTGGTATTGTACGAGAAAATATTTCTTACTTGCTCCTTCGAATAATTTTGGAAGAAAGCTGTGTACTCGAGTTTTCTAGCCACTGTTTACCAAGCCTAACTTTTAGGACGTTTTTCCATGAAGAAGATATACAATTAAAGTGTACATGCACATTTGCACATATTTTATCTGTTCGAAATGTTGCAAGTACAGATAAATATCTGTTTGTCCTGCCAGAAATGCACACAGCACCCAAATTCCTGCTTCAGCCAACAACACAGTGTTTCTGTTCTAAAATCCAACCCAGTTTTATTGCTGGGCTCCAGGAACGAGTCTGCTGCTGGACTGCAGAACACCCACTCCACTCACCTCACCTCAAGAACTCAGGAATACTTGGCAGGGCTGACAACACTGCTTGGGATTCCAGTGCAGCAGAGGTACTGTGTTGTCATCAAACAAGAGGAAAGTTATACAAGCTCACTGGTTTTCTGGTGTATCGACAGGCTTTTTTGTGTAGTTACAGCATTATTTTAAAAAGCAAAACACTGAGAAATTTGTGTGTATTGTAGATATTAACTGATTTTTTTTTGCCCACACAATACTCTTCAAGGGCTGGTTCACTCCATAAAGGGTGCATTTACATGCGCGTTTTTGTGTGTTCCCTTGACAGCCCATTAATTTCAACAAACTGTCAAACGCACGAGAACGTGCAATAAGTGTGGCAGGCACAACTTTTTATTAAGTGTGTCACACCAAATTGGATGGTACTGTTGATTGATGCCCAGGAATGCACCTGTGTTTGCAAAATGCATGGGGGTGCCATTTAAGAACTAATAACAACCTCGCATGTCTGCAGATTGAGGCGAGTTTCCATGCGGTGTGGGAAAATGGCTGTGTTCCTGCATTGCAATTGGTATGGACCGGCCCTCAGGATTCTAATAATTTTCTTTATTTCTGATCGAAGGACAATTCGTAATATAAAAATGATCTGATCTTTCAGCCCAGACCATTAGATTTTGACATTTTTATTTTGTCACTGATTTTTTTTTTTTTTATAATCAAGTTTATTAATTTTCCAAAGAACAAAAATTATGGAGAAAAGGCAATAGAAATTAGGTGTCCGCGCTGTACAACATTACAAAAGGAAAGCATGGGTTGGCAAAATACAATCACATAGAAGAATTAAATAGTTATTCTCAGACAAAGGCAAAAAAAAAACACAGCTTAGATATCGATGCTGAAAAAACCTGTACAATACACCACCCAACCCACGCAAAAATAAGTAGGAGGAAAAAGAAGCATTTCTTAATAAAACCATAACAAGTATAAATCCAGGGGAGGGGGTGTTAGGTACAGTGATGGCTCCTACAGAAGAAATTAAACCAGGTAACAGGTGTCAAAAGATTTGCCGTCAATTCCAGAAGACTTTGCAATTATGCGTCTGGAATTTTGGAATTTGATCAGTATACAACATTCACCCCCTCCAGACATCTGTAAATTTTTCTTGTTGGCATTTCAATGTATGCACCCAACACTCCACCTCCATAATCCTATTCTACTCCCTCTTCCAATCAGCCAAGGAAGGCCAGACGGCCTGCTTCCAAAATCTAGGGATTTCACTACATTCAGCAAATGTGGGATGACACACTTGATGGAGGAGGGAGAGCCATGAAAAAGATATTGTAAGGAGAAGCAAATAATGGGCCTAAGAGTTATCTTTTAAACCCATGGGGCAATCGAATCCCAAAATGCTTGATGTTAGGGCAGAACCACTAAATATGGAGGAAGGAGCCCCTTTGTCCCCAAACCTCTAGCAGCGCGCATCAGCGGCAGGATAGATCTGAGTCAGGCTTTAGGCAGTTAGATACCACTGAGTCAAAAATTTACTCTTGAGTACCCATGCTGATGGATATCGTATGGGTCAATGTAATAAGTCTAGAAGTTTGGCAAGGGGAAAATTCCAATTCAAGTTCCTTCTCCCATTCTCGTATGAAGTATGGAACTGACAGGGAGTGGACACTAAGGACCGATTTGTACATATGGGAAAATAAGTGTCTCGAGTCCGGAAATCTAATAAACAGAGATTTGAATTGGGAAAGCGTATCCCTGAACCTCACCTAGGCACTAACTTGCTAAAGAAGTCTGACAACTGTCGGTACCTCCAGTCCAAAAGCGGGAAGTGTCCATGAAGCCTGGAGTGTGGACAAGGGTAGCAATTTATCGCAAGGGGCGAATTTCACACAGGATCTATCCTTATCTGACCCCCCCAAGAGCAAAAAAATGTAAAGTCTTCACCCGGCGGAAACCATAGATAGCCTCCCAAAGGCGCTGGTGGGATGTCATGGTTGCATAGTGGCCAATTTAGTTCAATCTAACCCAGACCGCCAACAAGCTCCATGTCAGTGGGGAACTCCAGTCTGAGAGTCCTCTTGGAGTCTGTGGAAGCCACAGTGCTCCCGTCAGGTCTCTACCAGCCATTGATTTCTCTAGGAGGACTCATATTTTAGAGGAGACGTTTTGGTGCCAGTTTAACCGCTTCCCCGCCGCCTATAGTAGAAGTACTTCTACAGGATGGCAGGGCTGCGCAAATTCACATATATATGTGATTTGCCTTTCCAGGTAGTGAGCACATGCCGCCTTACCCATGCGACAATTGGTGGCTAGGCATGTCAATCACCGGGTACCAACTGGAGATTCCCCGCCAGCACCCAGCAATCGTTGTGCAAAGCTGATGGGAGAGACCTGTGTGTAAACAACACAGGTCTCTCTCCTGTCAGCATAGACATGCTGTTTTGTTTTTCTCTGCAAAGCAGAGAAATACAAAACCGCATGCCTCCCTAGTAACACAGCACACATAGTAAAACACACAGAGCACACAGTTAACACTTTGATCACCCAAAAGTTAACGCATTCCTGCCCAGTGTCATTAGTACAGTGTCAGTGCTTTTTATTAGCACTGATCACTGTATTCGTGTCACTGGAGATGTCAGTGGCAGTTAGTTCCCACTCAATGTCACAATGCCCACCGCAGTCCCGCTATAAGTCTCTCTCTCTCTGATCACCGCCATTACTAGTATTAAATTAAAAAAAAACTTCCAGTGTGTATATATACTGTAGTTTTTAGACGCTATAACTGTCACGTAAACCAATTAATTTACACGTATTGAGATTAAATACATGCAGCAGAATACATTTTGGCCAAGGTTTATGACAAAATTTAGATTTTTTTTAAAAGAATTTTATTGCTCATGTTTACTAGCAAAAATTCAAAAATATATTTTATTTTATTTTATTTTCAAAATTGTCGGTCTTTTTTTGTTTATAGTGCAAAAAAAAAAAACGCACAGGTGTTTAAATGCCACTGAAAGAAAGCTCTTTTTGTGGGGAAAAAAGGACATAAATTTAATTTATGTACAGCATTGCATGACCTCACAATTCTCAGTTAATGTAACACAGCGCCGTATCGCAAAAAATGGCCTGGCCAGGAAGGGGGGTAAATCCTCTGGAGGGCAAGTGTTTAAAATGCGCACCAGAGTCATAGCCTTATAATACAGCGCAATGACCGGGATACCGACCCCGCCGTCCAGTTTACGGCTACTTAACATGTCATAAGAAAGTCTTGGTAGTTTCCCATGCCATACAAAAGTCAAAAAGGCCCTACGTAAGTTTGAAAAATGTCTGAGGCAGCGAGATAGACACCTCGTGTTGCAGATACACAATCCGAGGTAAGATCGTCATTTTAAGCACATTTGCAATCTAAAAAAATATCAAGGGATAATTCTGCCATAGCTAGCTGAAGTCAGAGAGAAGTTTTCCGTCAGGGGAGATACAAGTCCCCAGATATGGCAACAATTTTGTCACTGATTTAGATGTAAATATTGCTTAGTCATTTGCATTGATAAACAATGATTTGATTTTTATATGCTTTTTATTTTCTGTAAAGCAAAAAGTTTGTTGTGCTTGCCTTTGTTTTAAACCAGTTTAGCAAAGGTTATATTTGATCTAATATGTAATTTCTGCTTATATCCTTTTTCTTTATGTGCTTTCATTTAGCCATGTCTCATATTTTTTTTTTTTTTTTTCAACTTCCTTTAGGTGACAGAGATACAAGACTGGAGTGCATCAAGTCCACACAGTGCTGCTTATGTTCTCTGGGACAATGGTGCTAAAAACCTCTACAGAGTTGGCTTTGAAGGCATGGTAAGTAGTCACAAGATGACAAAAAAACAAGGAATGTTTGGAGTGGGGGGCAGTAAGGTGAATACAATGACTTTCTTTATTCTCCTTTCTGTTCAGTCTTTTGTTACATCTGCTACTAGTTTGGGTGCCTCATTTAGCTTCTTTTGTCACCTGAGCAATTGATACTTCTACTACTGTTCTGTAGTAGAGATAATTGCTGAATACCAGTGAGACAAATCTCCAACTTTTTCAAGGTAGACCTGGCATTTTTCCTGCACATTCTGCAAATTTTAATTTATTGGTGTGAGTTTTGCGAGCATTGTTTTTGATAATTACCTCCTGTTTAGGAAAGCACAGCATGCTGGATTATTTCTACAGATCCAGTGAACTTTTCAGTAACTTTATAAATCTCCATTAATAAATTCCGGATGTGTCACAACATACATTTTTGCAAACAGACTGTAATTTTATGATTAAAAAGCAGCCCTTAACTTGCTGCCAGGTGACTTTTCCAAGACTGAGATTACCTCAAGATGTAGGCGGGCCATACTTGGATAAAAATTAAATGGTTCAGCAGGGACCAGGTGAATTTCAATCCATCTGTGGGTGCTGAGGTTGTACAGAAGTCACTCTACCGACTGACTTTTGTACAACTGCCCTTTTGGATTTTCCCCACTCGGTCAGCGCTGCAGACTATAGCCTGCAATACTGATCAGTGTATTCTGATGGCAAGGAAGTCCCACATTGTCAGAAACTAGTAGTTCAACTGGGGGGGCTGGGGGATTTTTCCCCATCCATATAAAAGTGTGTGGATGGGGGAATTGGGTCCATTTACTTTGTTCAACCCGCTGTAATCTATGGGCTTCCTTAGTTGATTATACTCCAGTGATTTGAGTGCAACATTATAACAATATAGCAAGTCACAAGGCGAAAGGCTGAAGCAGGAGCTGATTTGTGTACTTACTGAACTGGCGTTAAATTGTTTGTCGTTAAGTTCACTGAAAAACCCAATCTCTGCCATATCTTTTTTTTTTTTTTCTCCCACTGTTTGCATAGTGGATGCTCTCTAGGAGCTTTAATTTCCTTTTAGACCTCAACTAAAACAGGGCTTACTACTCTATTCTTGTGTTTTACTGCCTCTCCTGACAATGCAGTTGTAGGAGCTGAATTCCTAGACTCTTGAAAGAGTAATACTTGTATGCTAACTGCTTTTAATATTTTAACATCTTGCCCACCACCCTATAGTAGAACTACTGCTACAGGGCAGCAGGGATGCGCAAAATCACGTGTGTATATATATATATATATATATATATATATATATGTATGTGATTTGCATTACCGCTATTTGCGGCTAGGGATGTCAATCACCAGCTCCCGGCTGGCGATCGTCGGGGAAAGCTGACAGGGGAAACACTTGTGTGCAAACAGCACAGGTCTCTCTCCTGTCAGTATGGACATGCAGCATGTCCCTGAAGAAAAACACAGCACATAGTTAACCCATTGTTTGTCCAGAGATGTTAACCCTTCCTGCCTAGTGTCATTAGTACAGTGTTAGTGCTTTTTATTAGCACTGATCACTGTGGCTGTTAGTCAGTTCCTACCCAGTGTCAGAATGCCTGCCGCAGCCCCGCTATATGTCGCTGATCGCTGCCATTACTAGTATAAAAATTCCAGTATATATGCAGCCATTTGTAGACGCTATAACTTTCACGTCAGCCTATTAATTTACACTTATTGGAATTTTTTATGTTGCAGAATACATTTTGGTCTAAATTTATGAAGAAATTAGATATATTTTTTTTTTTGGATGTTTTATAGCAAAAAGTAAAAAAATATATATATTTTTTTTTTTCCTCAATTTTTTTTTTTATTGAGCAAAAAATAAATGCAGAGGTAATCAAATTCCACCAAAAGAAAGCTCTATTTGTGGGGGAAAATAATGACATAAATTTCATTATGTGCTGCGTTGCATGACCGCACCGCACAATTGTCAGTTAAAGTAATGCAGAGCCGTATCGCAAAAAATGGCCTGGTCAGGAAGGGCAAGTGGTTAAATGGAATCGGTTGGTGTAAGAACATTCTAGTATGAGTGGCTGATGTTCACAGAACATTGCAGGTCATGTCTTCGTGTAATGCAAACTGCACAAGTGAAATAAGTTATCTCTGATGATCATCCTATGTTTGGATGGTTTCTGTTTACTGTACGAATTCTATTTTCCCTGATGCCGGATACTATACACAGTGCTCTCCTTCTGGTGCCGTGACTGATGGTTCTGGCTCTAATGTAGTGAAAAATCCTGTTTGCTTTCCCCTTCCCCTTTCCCCATCCATTTACAAAAAATTTTGTTGTCTTCTCACAGAATGCAAGGTGCTTTGTGAATGGGCCTGCATTCTGTGTTGTGAACAAGGCTTTTTTTGTGAATGGATATGGGGGAGAGAGAATGTCAGGATCCTTAACTATATGAAATACGGAACTCTGTCACATTAATAAAAGAACACTGTAATATCCGTCATTAATGAAGATGGGATCTTTGCAGTAATCCACAGCCATCCAAGTATTTGATGATTATCATTAGAGATAACATCTATAACATTCAGTCATTTAGAGGACTTTTAACAATAATAAAACCTCGGGCTGTTTATTAGGTATTTGCATTACCCCAAAATTAGTTTACCAAGGGTGATAATTATTCCTAAATTCGAAGTGCAGCCAAAATCAAAAACAGAATAATTATCACAATGGACATAAATTACAGTAAGTAGGATGTGTCTTTTCTGCTGATTCCTCTGCTGTTAGTAGTAAACCTCTCCTGTCCCGCTTTCCCTGTTTCCGTAATCTTCGGGTGCGGCAGGGGTTGTTGCAAGGTGTTATCACAGGCTCTCATCAAGAGAGCTTGGCTATGCTTGCCCTTTCTGCCTAGTTGCTTCATACATTGAAGCTGTACTACAGCTTCTATGAATGAAACAGGATCTGTGGAGGAGGGTGTGGAACTATCATCTGCCAATCCTCCATTCTTAGATAGTTTCATTCATAGAAGATGTAGTACGGCTAGAGAGAGGATTATGTTGGCAAAGTGAGGGGAGCAGGAGAAGGAGGCTAACCAACAGCAGAGGAATCGGCTCAAGGGACATAGCATACCAACAATAGGTTATGTCACTTGTACTGTTCTGTTTTTGACTTTGGCTGCACTTCGGCTTTCAAGTTAAGTTGTTTAATGAATGAGTGATAAAGTGTACAGTTTAAGTGATTGAATACTCATTTGTACTATTTTCTTTTAGTCTGATCTGAAATGTGTGCAAGATGCCAAAAGGAGGATCATTTTACAGAGACCACTGTCCTGTACTGGGTGAGTGGTGATTAATTTTTCTGAGGGTACCAACAGTAGTTGGTAAAACTGTTGATTGCTGTACCATCCAAAAATGTAAATGCTAACGTACCAGTAACTGTTACATAGGTACCCTATAAGGCCATGACTTCAAACTGTTCTTTTTTCTGGTGTTGGAATGTGTGTGTGTGTGTATATGTATATGTATATATATATATATATATATATATATATATATATATATATATATACTATATATACATATATACAGTCAGGTCCATAAATATTGGGACATCGACACAATTCTAACATTTTTGGCTCTATACACCACCACAATGGATTTGAAATGAAACGAACAAGATGTGCTTTAACTGCAGACTGTCAGCTTTAATTTGAGGGTATTTACATCCAAATCAGGTGAACGGTGTAGGAATTACAACAGTTTGCATATGTGCCTCCCACGTGTTAAGGGACCACAATTATAGGTCAGAATAATATTCATAAATTAAACTTTCACTTTTTAATACTTGGTTGCAAATCCTTTGCAGTCAATTACAGCCTGAAGTCTGGAACACATAGACATCACCAGACGCTGGGTTTCACCCCTGGTGATGCTCTGCCAGGCCTCTACTGCAACTGTCTTCAGTTCCTGCTTGTTCTTGGGGCATTTTCCCTTCAGTTTTGTCTTCAGCAAGTGAAATGCATGCTCAATTGGATTCAGGTCAGGTGATTGACTTGGCCATTGCATAACATTCCACTTCTTTCCCCTAAAAAAACTCTTTGGTTGCTTTTGCAGTATGCTTTGGGTCATTGTCCATCTGCACTGTGAAGCGGCGTCCAATGAGTTGTCAAGCATTTGGCTGAATATGAGCAGATAATATTGCCCGAAACACTTCAGAATTCATCCTGCTGCTTTTGTCAGCAGTCACATCATCAATAAATACAAGAGAACCAGTTCCATTGGCAGCCATACATGCCCACGCCATGACACTACCACCACCATGCTTCACTGATGAGGTGGTATGCTTAGGATCATGAGCAGTTCCTTTCCTTCTCCATACTCTTCTCTGCCCATCACTCTGGTACAAGTTGATCTTGGTCTCATCTGTCCATAGGATGTTGTTCCAGAACTGTGAAGGCTTTTTTAGATGTCGTTTGGCAAACTCTAATCTGGCCTTCCTGTTTTTGAGGCTCACCAATGGTTTACATCTTGTGGTGAACCCTCTGTATTCACTCTGGTGAAGTCTTCTCTTGATTGTTGACTTTGACACACATACACCTACCTCCTGGAGAGTGTTCTTGATCTGGCCAACTGTTGTGAAGGGTGTTTTCTTCACCAGGGAAAGAATTCTTCATTCATCCACCACAGTTGTTTTCTGTGGTCTTCCGGGTCTTTTGGTGTTGCTGAGCTCTCCGGTGCGTTCCTTCTTTTTAAGAATGTTCCAAACAGTTGTTTTGGCCACGCCTAATGTTTTTGCCATCTCTCTGATGGGTTTGTTTTGTTTTTTCAGCCTAATGATGGCTTGCTTCACTGATAGTGACAGCTCTTTGGATCTCATCTTGAGAGTTGACAGCAACAGATTCCAAATGCAAATAGCACACTTGAAATGAACTCTGGACCTTTTATCTGCTCATTGTAATTGGGATAATGAGGGAATAACACACACACCTGGCCATGGAACACAGCTGAGAAGCCATTTGTCCCATTACTTTTGGTCCCTTAACAAGTGGGAGGCACATATGCAAACT